TTATTATTAATTTACAATTATAAAACCAAAAAGAGCTTCTAATTTAACCAAATTATTATAAAAACTTTAGTTTAACTGAAAAATTCAAAACGGGCCAAATTTTTTAATACAAAATCAAAAGTTAATTTGAAATTATAATAGAATCCAAAATTTTGGTTAAAACCAAACCAAATCCAAAAATTTATGTTACAAACCGAACTTTTGAATTATAAATTTATAATTTAGTTTGGGTTCGATTATTAAGATGGGTTTGATCACCTAGCTATACTAACACCTAGCAATACATTAAAAAACAAGAAAAGAATAAAATAACTTATATTTAAAAGAAAATAAAAATTGGATGCTTTTTTGCATCCTTCTCTCTCAAAAAAATCAACGATAACAATTGACTTTTTTCGCTTCTGAATTATTAGAATGGTCCCGAGCTCGGGCCTGAGTTGACCCAATCCCAATCTTAATCCCTAAAATTTTAATTCGGGATCGAATCCTTATAGGTTGTATTATTAAAATCGTATTTTTATAGTAAAAGATTCATATGAAATCACTTTTAAAAAATGTAATTTTATAAACTTGTAATAGAATTAGAATGTAATTGTAAAATTGTATAAAACTGAATATAACTGTAAATTTATCTATTTTTTAATAATTAGATTATTTTTAGAAACCATTAAGTTATTTTACTTTCGGTTTGCTAAATTTGCGTTAGACAACCTAATCACTAGCTATTTCTATGTTAGTTTATTTTATTTTTAGTTTGCGTCAAAATTGATGTTAAAATTAACTCTATCTTTTTTTTAAGTTTCTAAGGACTAATTAAATAATTAAAATGTTGAAATTTGAAATTAAAAATCTCATATTCAAATTTTGAGTGGATAAGATAAAATTTAGAAAAAAAAATTATCTTTTTTTACATAGTTTATTCAAATATAAAAAAAAATTAACTTTCTTTATTTTCTTTATTTGTGTATTATTAAATATTTAAATTTTAATTTATTAATTCCAACTCTAAATTTAATTCGTTGTTTTTTTTTTCTGAGGAAATTCGTTGTTATTTAATTTAGTTATATATAATTTCTGTGCTTTTGGTTACGATAAGTGACGTGTACTTGTATGTCTTTTTGTCTTTTTGTGTACTTCATTTTTGAATATACACTCCTACTGTATAAAATAAGTTTAGTAAATGTAATTTTGATTTATTAGGATTCCTTTTTTAAGGAGTGTTTGCTTTCAGGATTCTAACGTATTTTTCTG